CACCACTGCCCACGGAAACTCAAGCAGCCAATAAGATTTTTAAAAGAAATTTTAGCAAATTGCACAAATTGGTAAAAGTTGAAAATATAGTCAAAGAAATATATCCTTTTCTTTCATCAACAGTTTGAAACTTCTTGTGATAACATTAATAGATTTTTGAATCCAAGTAAATTCTTTCACCTCAAGCATTTCAAAGCAATCATGGAGCTCTCATTGGAAGACACCTTTCTTCAGCGTTGATGTCTATTTGATATGTACTGTAACCACTGTTAGGAGCTCCGGTGGTGTAGTGCCTAAGGCATTTGACTACTAACCAGAAGGCTGGCAGTTCAAACTCACCAGCCACTCCTCGGAAGGAAAATGAGGCAATCTACTTCTGCAGTGATACTGCCTTGGAAACCCAAGGAGGGGTCGCTATGTGTCGGATCTGACTCGATGGCAGTGGGTTTGGCAATCACTGTTACAGCTGGTGTCTGTTCTGATCAGTCATGGGGCCACCTCAGATGTTAAATATTTGTAATATCTTTCTGCCCCTATCCATTTTTAAAGCCATCACCCTGCAGTCAGCTTGTTGTCAGCTGCTGTAGGGTTGGTCCCTCACTCATGGCAACCCCACGTACGATGGGATCGAGCTGTTGTGATCCCTAGAGTTTTCACTGGCTGGTTTTCCAGAATGAGATCAGCAGGGCTTTCTTCCTCATTTCTCTTAGTCTGGAAGCTCTGTTGAAACCTGTTCAGCATCCCAGCAACACATAAGCCCTCACTGACGAATGAGTGATGGCTGTCCATGAGGCACACTGGCCAGGAATCAAACCCAGGCCTCCTGCACAGAACGTGAGAATTTTACCACTGAACCCCCACTGCCCTTGCAGTTAGCTTTGTTGTTGTTGTTGTTTGCCATTGAGTTGGACCCAACTTATAGCAACCCCTCCTTGGGTTTCTGAGGCAGTTATCACTATGGAAGCCCAATCTTCCTTCCGAGGAGTGGCTGGTGGGTTTGAACCACCAGACTTCTGGTTAGCAGTCAAGTCCTTATGCACTGCTTAGACATCCCTAAAATGATTCATCAGTCATAAATGGACATAAATACCTGATACTACATCAAGACAGATCCGGGTCAGCTTCCAGGGGCTGCTCTGGCCAGGAACTGCCATTTGGCCTCTCTGACCCTCTACCCCTACCTGCTCCACCTTGGAGCCCAATTCCTCCAGTAGAGCCTCTGGCCTTTGCCTGTGACAGGTGGCAGTGTGCTCTGTAGCTGGCCTCTGAGGTGCACGTCCAAGTGGTAGGACAAGGTGGGGTAGCAAATGCCAGATGTTGATGAACCTGCTGCCTTCTTTGGGAACAATAGGATAGGATGTCAGACTCAGGCCTGCTTGGGTCATCTTCTGACCTCCATGGGCTGCTTATGCCCAGAGATAACTGGCCGAGCTGGTGGCCCTATCAAAGACAGAGGTGGAGAAGTCCATGGCTGAACACCTGAGGACAACCAATAGCAGCACACCTGTGTGTCATGACCAATGGTTGAGAAATTCTTTAATAGAGGAAATAAAACATATGATAATAATATTACCTAATATTTATCAACAACTGTTATTGTTTACAATACTCTTTCACAGTGGATCTCATTCAGTCTTCACAAGAACAACCTGGAAGGATTATAATCCCATTTTACAAAAAGAAATAGACTCAAGTTGATATGCCAATTCCACATTTCCCTGGGGGTGCCTCATTGGTAAGCCATGTTAAACAATGGGGGCGGGGGGGAGGTGGATACACACTGGTAAGCCATGTTAAACAATGTCAGTTGTTAGGTGACAGTTTTACCTGAAACTTTTTTTTGGGAAAACTTTATTGGTAAATAATTTAAAATATTTTTATGAAAATAAACATGTATTATGAAATGGAAAACTTGACCAAGTTTGCAAGATTAAGTGCAAAGGTTAAGGTTAAGTGCAAGGTTAAGCTACTTTTAGCTGTGTCCTCAGACCTATGGGGAGTGGGGATGAGTTCTCTCTTCTGTGGAGCTAGGATTTACCCTTTCTCTGATTTCACATCCTGGATTCTATAGGGCAGCTTTCTCCTCATCCTGTACATATCACAGATAGAAAGCTATCAGGGTTTTAAGTCAGTTACAGAGAGAGTAGTTTGATCTTCATGAAGGAGGTGGTATATAACTGCATATTGGATTTGTGGAGATGAGAGGAGAGAGAATTCCAGGCAGGGAAATGGCATGAGCAAAGGAAAAGAAAGTGGGGCTGGGTAAGGGGGAGCAATGGCTAGGGGGACAAGTACATGAAGAAGCATAATAAAAATAAGGTTAGAACGGCAGATTGGCTTCAGGCAGGTTTACCTGGAGGAAAGTCTATGATGATTTTAGACTGGTGAGACCAGTTAGAAATCCAGAGTTAGGAAGGCCTTAAACCAGAGGAAATGAGAGGAGGACTTGGCAAATGATGAGGCCTGGGGCAGAATCAAAGACAGATGTGGAAAAGTCCATGGCTGAACACCTGAGGACACCCAGATGGGGAGTTGGAAAATGGGGGGCTGGAGCTCAGGGCTGGGACTCGGCACTTTGAATTATTGTGCCTGCAGGTGAAAATTCTCACCTTGGTATTGAAAGGGATTGATGTCATAGACACACAGCCACAACCATCAGAGAGTCAGGGAGGGGAGCCAGATGAGCACCTGGCTAAAGAGGCACCAGGAGGAAAGTGTCAAGGTGGATGCCACTCAGCAGTAGTGAGTAATGGAAAGAGGTCAGAGTTGTCTTCACATAGTGCCTGGAACATAGAACACACTCAATTAACATTTGTGGGATGAATGAAAGCAAAACCAGGAGTGAGAAATGCTACACTCAGGACAAATTATGTGAAAGAAGCAAGGGCAGAATCTGGGCATGGGGGATGTTAGAAAGTAATAGAGAGATTGTTGCGCTTATTCCAGAAGCTGGCACAGACCAGCTTCACAGCCTCTTCCAACCCTGAGCACTTAGTATTGACTTTCAGGAAACTTTGCCCCATCAGTTGGGGTGCAGTGGGGTTTAATGCTAACCTGCATGGACAGGTCATGATGGGCATGATTAAATGCAAATTTGGGACTTTTCCATTTGATCTCAACTTCAGGGAACCAAAAAACAAACAAAACAATCAAATGGTTGACATAATCTCATTACAAATCATTTCTTTCCCTAGAGTGTCTATTCTTCTTTTTTTAAATGGTATTTTATTGTTGAGAATATGCACAACAAAGCATACACTATTTCAACTATTTCTTCATGTACATACAGTTCAGAGACATTGATTACATTCTTTGTGTTGTACAAACATTCTCCCCCTCTTTTTCGGAATTGCTCCTCTCTCATTAACATGAACTCACTGCCGCTAAGGTTCCTGTCAAATTTTTCCAGTTGCTAATGTCAATTTGATCCCATACAGATCGATCTTAAAAGGGCACAGTGCTCAAGGCAGACAGTCTTTACTAGTTAACATAAGCTATTGTTTGGTTCTAAGAGGACTTCAGGGGAGATTTTTACTTTAAAGATTATCTCAGGGTGATGTGTGTCCTTTTTTACTCCCCCTTAGATATAAAGAGTGCTACAGATCAGTGGGCTCATCCACACATCTACGTCCTACTTTACAAAGCTTATTTAATTAAAGACTATTCTCTGCTCCTTGAAAATCTCACCCCAAATGTTCACTTAATACATTATTATTTTAAAAAAATTTTTATTGTAATTTGGGTGAAAGTTTACAGAGCAAATTCATTTTCCATACAGTAGTTTACATACACTTTGTTTCATGACATTGACTGTAATTTCCCATAATGCAACAGCTCCCCTCCCACTTCCTTCAGATAGTTACCTCTTCCCTGTGTCCTTCTCTCCATGTACTGCCCCCCAAACTGTCTCCTGTGCATACACAGCCCTTCTATTCTCCCATGATTGATCTCTCCAAGGAGTGTATCTACCTAATGTAAATGTTCAGCTCATATGCCTGTCTTTTGTTTGGCTGGAAGCCACAGGAGTGGGTTTAATTCCAGACCTGAAGGGCAGCTAGGGGCCATAGTTTCAGGGGTTCCAGCAGGCTCTATCAGACCAGCAAACCTGGTCTTTTTTTTTTTTTTTTATGATTTTGAGTTTTGTTCCACATTGTTCTCTCACTCTATCCAGGATCTCCTACATAGATTCCCTTCCGAGTGGTTGACAGTGGTAGCCGGTCACCATCTGGTTTTTCTGGTCTCATAGTCATACAGGCTGAGGATCACATGGTGTACCCTTGGACTAGTTGTTTTCAAGTATCTTTGGTTTTCTTTATTCTTCTTTGCTCTGGACAAGGAGAGACCCATCTTTGCATCTAGATGGCTGCTTGCAAGCTTTTAAGATTCCAGTCACTACTAGTCAAAGGAGGCTGTGGAACAATGTCTTTGTAGTATGTTATGCCAATTGCGCTTGATGTCCCCTGTGACCATGGTCCCAAGCCCACAGGTCCAGCTACTCGCTCCCTCCGGGTAACTGGCTGTGGCCAAAAAGTGACTACAAACTTGTCCCTTGTCAGCTCTCCTATATACCTGGAAATTCTTAAAGAACGTACCAGTACACTTGGAGAAACATTTAATACATTATTTTTGAAAAACACATTTCCACTTTCTCTCCCTTGGAGAAAATCTTTTAAATTCTTCGGGGTTTCTAAAATACTACTTTGACAGGGAGAAGAGGCTGCTGAGGGCTGGTTTGTTGGGAGCCGTGCAGCCTGGAAAGCTGCGCAGGTACACCCGAGCAGTGCAGGGGCGGCGAGTGGGAAGCCTTCCTGTGCGCCCCTCCCCATCCTGCCTGGTTCTATTTGCCAAAGGAGCCAGGGGCTGAAGTCCAGACCAAGGTGTGAGGGAGACAGCGGCTGGGCCTTGGAGCCCCTCTCCTTCCTATGATCGCGGCGGGAGCTCTTGCTCTTTGAGTCCGGCGCTGGCACACTCTTTGCTGGTTCCGGGTACTAGTCGGTGATATGCAGCGGCTGCTGGCGTCCGGCTGCAGCCTGGGCCTGCGGGGCGCCCTGGGCGCACAAGGGCTGTGCTCTGGCCGCACGGGTCCTGGGCCTCGGCCTGCTGCGGGGCTCTGCGACACCCGGCGCGGCCTGAGCCGCCAGGCCTCTGACGCCCCGCTTAACCATCCCCTAAACTCGGAGTTCGTGGCCCGGTCCGTGGGCGTCTGCTCCATGATGCGGCTGCCCGTTCAGTCCTCCCCCGAGGGGCTGGATGCCGCTTTCGTCGGGGTGCCTTTGGACATTGGGACCTCCAACCGGCCAGGGGCACGGTAAGGCCCAGAGGTCCAGGGCTGGGACATGTGGCAGGACAGCCAGCTTGAAGTGGGGCACAGAAGGCGCCTAACAGGCGCCTCTCTCCACCCAGGGTCGGGTAGGGAGCTGGTGTCCAGATCCAAAATGGCACTTTTCTTTTCCGACACAGTGATTTCCTAACGTCCACATCAGTAAGCAACCCCTCGCGTTCAGCACGCTATGGACGGGGTTCATCCGCCGGTCCCCTCCGTGTCATCCGTTGGTAAAGAGGGGTTCTGGGACTCAGCCTCCTCCACGCCTCAATCTGGGGGCCTTGCTGGGATGGCAGCTGTATTCTAGCCTAGTGTACAGGGGCAGGTGACATTACCTTTGAAAACAGGAAGAAGCTGGCTGCCCCTTCCCAAAACCTTAAGGTGTCACCTGACTCAAGAAATGCTCAAATTAAGGTAATTTTCCTAAAATCAACTCAGAGGAAGTAAGTTCATTTCCTTAAATATTTAGCATCAGCTGTTTCTGTGTCAGGTCAGCAACATTACATCTGACTACATGGTCTGAATTATAAACCAAAAAATCAAACCCACTGCCATTAAGTTGATTCTAACTCATAGCAACCCTATAGGACAGAGTAGAACTGCCCCATAGGGTTTCCAAGGCTGTAAATCTTTACAGCAGCAGACTGAATGATAAAAGTCACCATTTATTAAATGTCTACTAGGTGCAAGGCACTTTGCCTAGATCACGTCATTTAATCCTTACAATAGCAGGGTAAAGTAAATATTATTATTATTTTACAGGTTAGGAAACTGAGATTTTGAGAGATTAAGAAATTGTCTAATGCCGTTTAGTAAAGTGGTGGGCTACAAAGCCTAATCTTCAAGATACAGGCAGGATCTATGGTTCTTAATAGGAGGTGATTTTGTCCCCCAGGGGACATTTGACAATGTATGTAATGAACAGTTTGTTCACCACTACTAACCAAAAGCTTGCAGTTTCGAATCTACCTAGTGGCACTGTGGAAGAGGGGCCTGGTGACACGTGGGATCCCCATGAATTGGAAATGACTCCATGGCAACGGGTTTGGTGGTTTTTGTTTTTTTTTGTAGAAGCATTTTTGGTTGTCACAAGTGGGAGAATAGTGGTGCTGCTGGCATCTAGTGGGTGGAGGCTACAATGCACAGGGCAGCACCTTCAGAGTCATCCAGCCCCAACCGTCAACAGTGATGACTGGCAGGATGCTTCTTCCTTTTCCAGATTTGGGCCCCGTCGGATCAGGGAGGAATCAGTGATGCTGCGGTCGGCCAATCCTAGCACGGGGGCCCTTCCCTTCCAGTCCCTCATGGTGGCGGACTTGGGAGATGTGAATGTCAATCTTTACAACCTTCAGGACAGCTGCCAGCTCATTCGAGAGGCCTATGAGAAAATCGCAGCCGTTGGCTGTGTTCCTCTGACCTTGGGTAATGACAGTCTGCAATGGGCTTCATTTATCATGGGCTTGAGTACAGCTACTTCTCCAAGGCAATCCCCTGTGGGTACGGAGATAGTAGGAAAGGGAAAAGTTAACACATTTATTTTAACCCCTAAGGAGAGGATATTTAAAATTTTTGGACTAGCATGACTGATGGGGCTGACGTAGGGTGAGGCAAGTGAAGAGCTCTCCTGAGGTGCAAAAAACTTAAAAAGTGCTAAAAAACTCAATACTCTAGATCAATTAAGTGTTACTGATTTTCCCCTTTGTGTCTCAGGCTCCAGGATGGCTTAGAATGGCACTATTACTAATCCCATCTTTGTTTCTGATATTTTGTTCATCATGGGTTTTTTTGGGGGTAGGGTGGGGGGCATTGATTTTGAGTTTTAAAAATATTACATGAGAAGTCTTTATCTTTATTACTGAGATTTTTGGTGCCCCTTAAATCTTGCACCCACCCATCTCACCCACTTCACCCTAGTCCCAGCACTGATGACTACTAATACATGAGCCTGGAGAAGCTGCCCACAGGGCCTCCGTTGCTCAGACTTTACAACTACCTCAAGGACATTGTTTCTAATGACTTTATCTGAGAGGAGAACTAACTGCAAGGAGGTACTTTCACCCTGGTCAGAGTGTATATCAATTTCTAGTGCAGCTTTCCCTCCACTCCCAGCCTGCTACCACCCTCACTACAGCATTTCTTTTTGGTTCACGAATAGTTCAGATGACATGGTTTTTTTCTAACTATTCAAACTAATCTCTGCCCAATTAGAGAGCCTACCTAGGAGCTCTGGTGGCATGTAGTTCAAATCCACCAGCCACTCTTCAGAAGGAAGACTGGACAATCTACTTCTGTAAAGATACTGCCTAGGAAACCCAAGGAGGGGTTGCTAATGAGTTGAAATCGACTCAACAGCAGTGAGGTTTTTTTTTTTTTTTTTTTTTTTTTGTTTGTTTAGAGAGCCTATCTAGGCTGCAAAGGAGCTCTGGTAGCATAGTGCCTAAGGCACTTGACTGCTAACCAGAAGGCTGGCGGTTCAAACCCACCAGCCACTCCTTGGAAGGAAGGTTGGGCAATCTACTTCTGTAGTGATACTGCCTCAGAAACCCAAGGAGGGGTCGCTATGAGTCGGGGCCGACTCGACGGCACATAACAACAACAACATCTAGGCTGCATAGCATAGAGGTTAGGAGTGTGGTTTCTGGAATCAGCATGATTTGAAGTCTCAGCTCCCCTTCTCACTACTACCTAACTGTACTGGTTCATGCTTTATCTTCTCATCTGTAAAATGGGAAGGAGAATAATACTCCTACCTCACCATGTTGTGTGAGAGACATAAAGAAAGTGCATACAAAGTGCCTAGCATTTTACCTGGCATATTTTAAGCTTCAGTAAATGTTAGCTATTGATATTATTAATAATTAAACTAGTAAACAGTTTTTAAGGCCTTGTGGCCGTTTGAATTAAAATGAAATGAAACACAAAAGTCCAGTTCCTTAGTCATGCTAGCCACATTTCAGTAGCCACATGGGGCTGTTGTTGTGAGGTGCCGTTGAGTCTGTTCCTATTCATAGTGACCCTGTGTGCACGATCCTCACAATCACTGCCGTGTTTGAGCCTGTTGTTGTAGTTACTGTGTCAATCCATCTTGTTGAGGGCCTTCCTCTTTTTCACTGACCTCCTTTTCCAAGCACGATGTCCCTCTCCAGGGACTGGTACCTGCTTATAACATGTCCAAAGTCTGTGAGATGAAGTTTCACCATTCTTGCTTCTAAGGAGCATTCTGGCTATCCTTCTTCCAAGATGGATTCATTCATTCTTCTGGCCACTATATTGAACAGTGAAAATAAAGACCAGTTCTATCATCACCTACGGTTCTACTGGACAGAGCTATTTTGGGCATTTACCTCTAAGTCTGGATTTGTCTAATTGCTTCTTTTAAATGAGAGTAAAATCTTAAACATCCTTTTGAAAAAGATCTTGTGTTGGCCATGGTTATAGTTCTTCAGGAGTCACTGGGTGGTGCAAATGGTTAAATGCTGGACGACTAACTGACAGGCTGGTGGTTCAAACCCTCGCAGAGGCCCCTCAGGTGTAAGGCTGGCAATCTGCTTCTGAAAGGTCACAGCCTTGAAAACCCTGGGGAGCACAGTTCCACTCTGCAACATATGGGGTCCTCATGCGTTGGAATCAACTCCATGGCAACTAACAACAGTAGTCCTTCAGCCTAATCAAAAGGGTGGCAGAATTGGGCAAGTTTAAGACTGTTCTACGTGATACATGGTTCTCTAATCTTATTCACATTCTAGATTTTTTTTCCCCTTTGTAGGTGGAGATCATACCATCACATATCCCATATTACAAGCACTCGCTAAAAAGTAAGTCCCAAATGGCATGGCCCAAGCAAGATTTCAACATTCAAGAGCTAGAGAGAGAGTTGTTTACTGCTAGGTGGCATCAGGTGACCTCCACTGACTCAGGTTATTGGGGATGATAGGAAATTCCTGACTGAGCTGCTTCTGTGGTTCAGAATTACAGTTGAGCTCCTGGTGTCTCTGTCAGTCATCAGCTGAAGCCAAGACAATTTATTATTAACACTTCTGGCCCCTCCCTTGCCCTGGATCTGTTCTGGAATGCATGCTCAGTGTTTTCAACTTGCCTCCATTTTTGGAAGATGAGCTCCTAGTGAAATACACAACTCCAGTTAACTTTAGTTTCTGTTTTGCTTCAACAGCTAAATAAAAATACTGAGAGACCCAAAGGTAAAGCGTGCTGTGGGGAGGCCTGTTTTCTCCTGAATAGTCCCCTTCCCAGACAGTGGGAAGATTGACTTCTGAGTACTGCTAATCCACCAGGGATTGGCTTGTTTGGTTGTTAGTTGCATTGAGTCACCTCTGACTCATGGCGAGCTTATGAGTAACAGAATGACGTGTTGCCCAGTCCTCCATCTTCATGATTGTTAGTATGTTTGAGTCCATTGTTGTGTATTTTGAGGGACTCCCAACTTAGGAAAGGTGTTCTGGTGGTTAAAGCATTCAGCTGCTAACCCAAAGGTTGGCAGTTGGAACCCACTAGCTGCTCCATGGCAGAAAGATGAGGCAATCTGCTTCTGTAAAGATTTACAGCCTTGGAAACCCTATGGGGCAGTTCTACTCTGTCCTACAGGGTCGCTGAGTCAGAATTGCCTCAACGGCAGCAGGTTTTTTTTTTTTTTTGTTTCATCTTCTAGCACTACATTGGACAGTATTCTGCTGTGATCTGTACGGGTTTCACTGGCTAATTGCCATAAGTAGATCACCAGACCTTTCTTTCTAATCCATCTTAGACTGGGAGCGTTGCTGAAGCCTGGTTTTTGGAATACTGGTGGCATAGCTTCTAGCATCATAGCACTACACAAGCCACTACAGTATGACAAACTGACACACAGGTGGTGGAAGGACTGAATGACTTTGGCTAATTTAGTTTCAGAAAGAGGTAGAAGGGCAGAGGCTACAGAATTCAAGTATGAGAATGGGTATAGGTGGCTTTCTAGTTGGGACTGGTGGGTCTATAGGTCTCTTCTCGAAGCTGTGTTTGCATAGCTTTGATTTGCATGGTACATTTATTTAGAGTGGCTGGCAGGGGTTGATGGAAATTATGGGGAGATAGTTGGGTTAAAGCTACTTCTTGGTGCCACAGAGAAAGGGTGGCTGTGATTAGTTCAGCCTTCAGCCAAACTTGCCTCTAAGCCAGCCACCATCCTTGCTCATCCTCCCTGCCCTCTCCAAGTAAAGCAAATGCTGGGTGATGGGCAGTGCCTGGCAACCAGTGTGCATGTCTGGTTTCTGCCTGACTTTTTGGAGTTTATCGTTCCTCCGAGAGCCTAAATGGTTTGAACACAGAAACCAGGGGCAAGGCAAGGTGTTGATGCCAGGCCTCCTCTCAGTGGCTATGAATAATCTTCAAGTTTTGGCAGCCTAAAGCTGCGGTGAGCGGGGCCACCAGGGAGGCTTTGCCTCTGAAATGCCCTGTGTCATCAGGCATGGCCCTGTGGGATTGCTGCATGTGGATGCGCACACGGACACGGCCGACAAGGCCCTGGGAGAGAAGCTGTATCATGGGACGCCCTTCCGTCGATGCGTGGATGAGGGACTCCTGGACTGTAAGCGGGTGGTACAGATCGGCATTCGGGGCTCTTCCACGACCTTGGATCCTTACAGATACAACCGGAGCCAGGTGACAGGCTGAACATCCCTATCACCCTTGTCCCCAAAGCACCTTACCACATGACAGTTATGATTCAACAAGGACTTTACTAGTCAAGTTCAGAAAGTGGGGCCAAAAGGTTAAGATTGCATCAAGAGGGTCATGTGCAGCAGAGAGGTGAGGATGTTAGTTTACTGGGCAAAGGAGGCCTCTTACCGCAGGGGTGGGGAGACAAGCAGAAACCAACCAGCCCCTCAGAGGTTGCCAGCCTCTCTTGGAGGAGGTCAAACCCAAGATGAGTTGCCACCTTAGTTCTCAACTTCATACCCACCAGGCAGAATGGCTCTTATGTAAACACATGAGACAAGACCCCTTTCCAGGGACTGGTAGTGAGTGGAGTTTCTTCCTGTTACTTTAGCAAAGTTTCTGTTGGATCCCAGCAGATCAGCTTTGACTTACATCTTGCTTCTTCACCAGTAATTGACCCTCCCTTCCTCACCCAGCCTTCTTATCTGTAAAACAGGGAAAATAGCTCCTGCCTCATGGGGACTGAGGGTCAAATGTGATATGCACATAAAGAGCTTAGCCTGGGGGCTGGCACCCAGGAAATGCCAAGAAATGCTGCCATGAAGTCTCAACCTTCAGATCCTTACTTTCTACTTCCTCAGGGCTTCCGGGTTGTCCTTGCTGAAGACTGCTGGATGAAATCACTGGTTCCTCTGATGGGGGAGGTGAGGCAGCAGATGGGAGGCAAACCCATTTACATCAGCTTCGATATTGATGCCCTGGATCCTGCCTATGCCCCAGGGACAGGGACACCTGAAATCGCTGGTCTTACTCCTAGTCAGGTAAGGAGGTGACACTGCCACCAGTGAAGATTCCCAGAGGTGAGGTAGGGATTCCTGGGACTGGTAGTGAGACTTCAGGAATCAAGAAAGGATTTTAAAAGCAAGCACCTAGGCTTTTCTTGTTCTTGGGTCTGACTGTAGGTGTGAGTTCTCACCAAGGAGTGACTGAGGGCATGCATCTCTTCTCTGGGATCTAATGGTCCTATATTTAGGCCTCTTGTTCATTTGTAGTCAGTTCATGGGGGCAATGCTGTAGTACTCCCTAGGCATTAGTGAGCTGAAATGGACTGGTTTGGGCCATTTTGAATCAGACAACCATATGATCTAGTACGCCGGGAACGACAAACTGAAGAGGAATGGTTTGGTGGTCATCATCACAAAGACTATTTCAAGATCTGTCCTGAAGGACAGTGCTATCAGTGACAGGGTAATATCTATACGCCTACAAGGAAGACCAGTTAATACGACTGTTATTCAAATCTATGCACCAACCACCAAAGCCAAAGATGAGGAAATTGAAGATTTCTACCAACTTCTGCAGTCTGAAATTGACTGAACATGCAATCAAGATGTGTTAATGATCACTGGTGACTGGAATGCAAAAGTTGGAAAAGAAAGAAGAGTCACTGATAATTGGAAAAGATGGCCTTGGTGACAGAAATAATGCTGGAGATTGCATCATACAATTTTGCAAGACCAATGACTTATTCATTGCAAATACCTTTTTTTAACAACATAAATGATGGCTATACACATGAACTTCACCAGATGGAGTACTCAGGAATCAGACTGACTACATTTGTGACAAGAGGTGATGGAGATGTTCAATACCTTCAGCCAAAACAAGGCCAGGAGTTGACTGCGGAACAGACCATCAACCACTCATATGCAAGTTCAAGTCGAAGTTGAAGACAATTAAAACAAGTCCATGAGAGCCAAAATATGACCTTGATAACATCCCTCCTGAATTTAGAGACCATTTAAAGAACAGATTTGATGCACTGAACACCAATGACCAAAAACCAGAGGAACTGTGGGATGACATCAAGAACATCATCCGTGAAGAAAGCAAGAGGTCATTAAAAAGACAAGAAAGAAAAAAAAGACAAAAATGGATGTCAGAAGAAACTCTGAAACTTGCCCTTGAGCAAAGAGTGGCTAAAGCAAATGGAAGAAATGACAAGATAAAAGAGCTGAACGGAAGATTTCAAAGAGCAACTCGAGAAGGCTTATAATGAAATGTGCAAAGATCTGGAGTTAGAAAACCAAAAGGGAAGAACATGCTCAGCATTTCTCAAGCTGAAAGAATGGAAGAAAAAAATTAAGTCTCAAGTTGCAATATGGAAAGATTCTATAGCAAAATATTGAACAATGCAGGAAACATCAAAAGAAGAGGGAAGGAATACACAGAGTCACTGTACCAAAATGAACTGGTCGATCTTCATCCATGTCAGGAAGTGGCATATTATCAAGACCCAATGGTATTGAAGGAAGAAGTCGAGGCTGCACTGAAAGAACTGGCTAAGAACAAGGCTCTAGGTATTGGAATACCCATTGAGATGTTTCAACAAATGGATGCCCCACTGGAAGCACCCACTCAATTATGCTAAGAGATGTGGAAGACAGTTACCTGGCCAACTGACTAGAAAAGATCCATATTTGTATCCATTCCAAAGAAAAGTGATCCCACAGAATGTGGAAATTATATAACAATATCACTAATATCACATGCAAGTAAATTTTTTTTTTTTGCAAGTAAAATCTTACTGAAGATAATTAAAAAATGGTTGCAGCAGTATATTGACAGAGAACTTCCAGAAATGCAACTTAGATTAATAAGAGGACATGGAATGAGGGATATCATTGCCGATGTCAGATGGATCTTAGCTGAAAGCAAAGAATACCAGAAAAATGCTTACTTCTGTTTTATTGACTATGCAAAAGCATTTTATTGTGTGGATCATAACAAATTATAGATAATATCGAGAAGAATGGGAATTCCAGAACATTTGATTGTGTTCATGAGGAACCTGTACATAGATCAGGAGGCTGTCATTTGAACAGAACAAAGGGATACTGCATGGTTTAAAATCAGGAAGGGGGTGCATCAGGGTTGTATCCTTTCACCATACTTACTCAATTTGTATGCTGAACAAATAATTAGAGAAGCTGGGTTATATGAAGAAGAATGTGGCATCAGGATTGGAGGAAGACTCATTAACAACCTGTGATACACAGATGACACAACTTTGCTTGCTGAAAGTGAGGATGACTTGAAGCACTTACTGATGAAGATTAAAGATTACAGTCTGCAGTATATATTATACCTCAGTATAAAGAAAACAACAATTTTCACAACTGGTCCAGTAAACAGCTTCACGATGGATGGAGAAAAGATTGAAGCTGTCAAGGACTTCATATTACTTGGTTCTAAAATCAACACCAATGGAAGCAACAGTCAGGACATCAGATGACACATTGCATTGGGCAAATCTGCTGCAAAAGACCTCTTTCAAGTGCTGAAGAGCAAAGATGTCTCCTTGAAGATTAAGGTGTGCCTAACCCAAGCCATGGTATTTTCAGTTGCCTCTAAGGCACGTGAGAGCTGGACAATGAATGAGGAAGACTGAAGAAGAGTTGATGCTTTTGAGCTGTGGTGTTGGAGAATGCTATAAATACCATGGACTGCTAAAAGGACTAACAAATCTGTCCTGGAACAAGTGCAACCAGATGCTCCTTGGAAGCAAGAATGGCCAGACTTCGTCTCATCTACTTTGGTCATGCTGTCAGGAGGGACCATTCCCTGGAGAAGGATATCATGCTTGGTAAAGTGGAGGGTGAGTGAAGAAGGGGAAGGCCCTTAATGAGATGGACTGGCAAAGTGGCTGCAGTAATGGGCTTACGTATAGCAAGGATCATGAGACTGGTACAGTTTCATTCTGCTGTGTGTAGGGTCGCTGTAAGTCAGAGACAACTTGATGGCACCTAACAACAACAACAGGAACACCTAAACAAAACTCCCATACGATCAGTAGCATGTAAACCTAGGGAGGCAGAACTGGAGTGTGGTTATAACTAGAAGGTGAACTCCAGGAGGGTAGGGCCTTTGTTTTATTCACTGTCCTATTCTTGGACCCTAGAATAGTGCCCTGACATGTAAACAGTAGGTACTGAAAGACAATGGTTGAATAAGTGCATGAAGACTGCGTGAACCTACTCTGATGTCTTGTCAGAAAGGTGGATGGTCAGAACGAACTCTCTCAAAGCCATTCTCAATTCCCATCCTTGTTGCTCTCCTTATTTTTTCTAGTCACTTTTGTCAGCAGAATGGAAACCCTTTTCGATGAGGCATCTACTACTCCCTCTTTTACCTTCTTCTGTAGCCACATCTGCCGGCACTTTTCCCATTTTGGTGCCTTTGTGTGTGTCTTTCCCTTTGCCTGGGATGCCCTTCCCCTTCTCAGCAGCTTGGCCAATGCCTTGAGCTAAGTGTTTCTACCTTGGGGAAGCCGACTCCTGCCTTTCCAGGCTGACACAGCTGAGATTGTTCTGTGCTGACTTCTCTTGAAGTCCTAAACATATGACATTGCTATGACTGGTTTGCTTGCCTCCATCTTCAGATTATATGAAGCTCTCAGAGGCAACACTGTGCGTTGGTCAGTAGTGCCCCTGTAAGGCCCACCAATGCCTGGCAGTTGTAAAGTGTTTATGGAGGGAAAGCAACGGTTCCATGTCAAGGAATGGGCATGTATTGGGAGCCACCCACTGAAGCGGGTGCTAGTCATTTTTCATTGTGAATGTTACCATCCCCGATAACTTGCTCTTGACCTTGAACAGGCTCTGGAGATCATCCGGGGCTGTCAAGGCCTGAATGTGGTAGGTTGTGACCTTGTGGAAGTTTCACCGTTGTATGATCCTTCTGGTGAGTAAGAAAGAAAACTGTGATCTGTAGGCAGCTGCTAGTTTACATTAATCTAGTTAATAAGTAGATTATTAATGGATGGGCCTCCTTGTACCTGCCAAGTGTCCTCTAAAGTGAAGAAAATAAATCTATTACTGCACAGTTACAAACATGAGCTAATTAACCCTAACAAAACCCCTGGGAGGTAGCTACATATTATTAGCGTTCCCACAAGTCAACGGAAGAGAAATAAACCAGCCTGCAATTTAGCAGCTGAATGGCACAGTTCCATCCTCCTCCGATAGGTCGTTGGAAACTGAATTCTCACAGCATAAAAAGTCAAGTGGGAAGTTAGCAGGTTTCAGAGAGATCTTCACAGCAGACACCATCACAGTGTCTTTAGTTTAGAAAAGCTTACAGAGTTCGGCCCATCGGTGTCAGGGAATAGATCATAAATACAATACGCAGCATTGTTCTAGGTTCTCCTTTGGGATAAATCTGTTGAGTTAAAGAAGTTTCTGAATTTTAAGCTACTGTTTTCCAGTGAATGTTGGATGGAGGCGGACTCCCAGGGCCAGTGCCTCCACAGTGAGGTTGGGCAGCCCAGACCAGGGCACCACAGGCAGAAGTCTGGGGAGCAGCAGGAAGGACAGAAAGCTAAAGGGATCCTGGAAGGCTGCTCCAGGGGCGGCTGGGGTGGTGTTCACGGTGGTTTTACTTCTTTGCAGGAAACACAGCGCTGCTGGCGGCTAACCTGCTGTTTGAAATGCTGTGTGTTCTCCCCAAAGTGAAAGTTGTCTGAGCTTGTGCTCCTCAAGATAAAGTAACAGATGGCATCACTGGCAAATTCTCAAGAATTTATGAGCAAGCTGTTTGGGTACTAAAGAGTTTACGCCAATAAAGTTTCCTGCTAAAAGTGTCACTGGTGTCGGTAAGATCAGGGTACTCGGTAGAACTTGCATCCAAACAGCTAACATTTCAAAGGAGTTTGAATCAACATTTAAAGAAAGAAAACACTTGTCCTGCTTTCATTTTTGCCTTTGATGAACGATGGGGGAGAAATGGAAAATTCAGTTTCATGTTATCTAAAAAATGGAGAAATGAAGTTGACGGAATAATACTATATAAAACCTTCCATATTTCTACAGTATCTCCCTACTGCTGAGGAGCTTAGGGCTACACCTAGCTTTTAGGACCATTCAACAAAAAGTTAGAAAGTAACATGCAGATCCTACGAAAGCAGCTTAAAATCAGGAGGATAGAGGAAATGTCTTCTATGACAAACAACATCAGCAGCCCCACAGAGCCCTTAAAGGCTCCTCGACCCGCTCCCCACAGGCCTCAGTTCTTACTATGTGCTGCTCCTCAAGCCGGAGCGCCCTCTAGCAGCGCGACCCTTGCCACCTCCAGTGAAGGGTGCTGCCCTGAAGCAGTGTTGAATTACGTGCAAAGTCAACTTTGTTGACATGGTGTCTGTGATTAAATCATCTTGTAATGCAAGAGCTATCCCATAATCATCACACATTAAAATAGTTTATTTCTGTTTCCAGTCTGTAATATTCTTAAAACAAAATAACATCAGCTTCAGTGCCTGTTCACAATACAAAAAACAACAACAACAAAAAAAAACATAAAAAAGACACAGTTGGCCAAATAAGTTATTTGTTCCTAAGAGTATCAAAAGTGCAAAATATTCACCTTCTTTTAGATCTGTCTCCCCCAAGTACAATCATCCTCTTTGACAAACTGAAAAGACAGGTTTAGCAGCTGCCACACTGCGTTTGTTTTCAAGGGACGATGTCAGGTATTTGGACTCGGGCAACACTTCCATTTGTAAAGATCAAAAGCATCAATTTTTAAACAATTTTACTTAAACAACAACAACAAAGAGGTTTGGGTGTTTACTTCCAAGCCATCTTCCCAAACAAAGCAAATCACTTAAAACACATTCAGATCCCATTTCTTTTTATATCAAGGAAACATTTATGAATGGATGGCAGCTGCAAATTAATTAGGACGATAGTACATACAAGTACGACTAGGCTGAGAATGGGGGGCAAGTCAACCTATTTATCTGAAAATGACGACGTTTTCATGGTCAGTCAATGATGGCAGTGGGACCCTGGTACCTGATGGAAGTCAGGGTGGTCTTGCTCCTTGAAAGGCTGCTTGGCTGGAGCTGACCTTATGTAAGACCAGCTGTGCAACCAACACCTGAGCAATTAAAAAGTTCTATTTGAGATGGGAGTATGTTCTACTCCCATATTTAGGCCAGTTGCCATTTCACCCTATCTGCTGAGCATGATGTATAATCTGTATCAACCAGAAAAACCCACTGCTAAAAAAAAAATCATTGTTGATGGCTTCAAGATATTTGAAGACTAGGAAGTTCACTTAAACCAAAATTGGGTTTTGTACAATGATATTCATTAGAATGAGAAACGGGAGCACTGGCTGAGCAGGACAGTGGCTCATACATCTGACACAAAAGTAAACAAATCTACAAAAACAATGTTCAGGAGGAAAGGCTTGGATGTCCAAGGGTAAAGTTCACTGAGAAAGGGCTCTAGAGTCCCAGAAGACTGGAAAGGGTCTCCTCTGGGAGCAGCAGAAGACTCTTGGTGTTTCAGCTCGACTGAAACACTTTCTAGGAATGGTTCCAATCCTATCCCCACTTCCTTTTGCTGGTACAAATGGAAGGTGCAGCTGTCTGAAGGTGCTTTCTATTTTAGTAGTAAAGACAAACCTGGGGAGATTTTGGTTTTTACAAATCAAGGTTGGGAATATCATTAGTACCAGAAATTAAAAAAAAAAACCTACCAGTGAACAAAGATACTATTCACATAAGCAATCTACTATAAAAGACCCAGAGAATAATTTTGAGGACCAGTCCGTTAAAAACCCAAATGAATCCCTTGACTGTTTCTGATTGGCTGCTGCTACAGTCATAGTATTCAGAGCCACCATCCACTTGTAGAGGATCATATGGAAGAACAAAGACTGGCAGTGATTTTTTTTTTTTTAAATAAAGCTATAGACTCCATGAAAATTATAGGAATTCCTGGCTGAAATAATTTATTACTTACCACTGTAGCCCAATATTTAAATTGTTCAGGATCCAAATGGTTTAGTTTAAAGCAATTATGATTAAATAAATAAATACCAAGGTAGTCAAAGTCTCATCACTGATTCTCACCCTTCACTTTATAAAAGATAATTTGCTTTGATATTTGAACAGACCACTCTTTGAAGTTGTCCAAACTCCATCGGTGGTTTTGCCCTGATTAAGAAAACGCTAAAAAAACAAACTACTCTCTCTGACTGGCTGGTCTGCTCCAGCCTTAGGCCCATTAAACACCGGAGCTCAGCAAGCTGGGTGCTGCTGATCCGCCTGACCCCGATACTCGTAAAGCAGCTGTCAGAAAGGAGTGAAAACAGTGACGATCTCCATACAGAGGCCAGCAGCTAGAAAATAACCCTTCTGCAAAACAGGTATCCAGAACAAGTCTTGTCTTTCCCATCACCAGAGGACTAGAAGATACAGCACTTTTGGGATAACAGTGTCCAAAATACAATCGTTGATGCATTTGAAGTTCCTTGATACAAAGACATGTCGGTATTTTACTAGAGAGACAACCCTGGAGGGCAGAGAGGGTCCTTGAGCCTGACTCACTGCACGTGGGATGCATTTGTCTTCAGTTTAACATCTACTGGCTCATAGCAGCTTATCTCTATGCTCAGAGAACAAGATTACAAGTTATGGCTCCTAATATCCACACTGAAAAATTGATAGGCAGAAAGACTTCAGAAAACATGGGTCAGTGGCTGCAGGTCATATAGTACTTCCTGCTGTGCAGCCCCCTCCCCTGGCTCTGCTGCGTGCGGAGGTGGCAGCAGTGGAACTCTTACCGAGGCATTCTAGTGCGGCAGCCACCAGCCACTGCCCAGCCCTCCCTGCTCTCTTCTTGGGAAGAAAACCAGACCCACATGCACAGCACCTCCTTCCCCATACCCCCATCCTTGAGAATGGTGGCTGTCAAGCTGTTGTAGAAGGATACCCCCAAGATAGAAGACTGCTTGGAACTGGGGCCTCTTTCAAGATGCAGGGCCTAAAGAGCTGCTGTGAGGGGTTCCAATGCTAGAGCATGCACGCAGCGAAAGCTCAGCAGGGCGAAGGGGGATGCCCGGAGCACGGGGAGTGGGGAGAGTGCCTGAGCTGCACCCCAGGCTCCGGTGGTTCTGTCCAGGCACTGCTGCAGCATGAGCCCTGTGTTCTCCAACATAACAGACAGGGTAGGGGAGTGTGGTGTGAGCATGTGACAGGGACAACACAGGAAGAGAGATGGGCAAACTATTTTAAATAGTGCGGCATTCAAAGGAGGCTAAAAAAAAAAACGGGAAATATTCTGATCTAGGAACTCAAACTTGTGATGTTTTTCACTCTGAGGTTAGAAGAGGACAAAGGAAAGATTCTTCTAGCCATTCTAGAAGAGTAATCTAAAATCTATACTCTGTTCCTTGGGATAGTTTGAGTCCTGGAAATACCTGTTCACAGGGGTATGTTAAAAAGTCTGAAGAGTTCAATTCCCTTTTTGAAATCCTCTCAGTCTAATTCAGGCCACGATGGGATATAAAACCTCTGTAAGGAGCCTTCCAACAGGCGTTCCATCCACAAGGACAACTTGCTCAACTTCCCTTTGATGGGCCTGGACCCAAGGGCAGAGGAAGATTTCCCTCGAGATTCACCCAGGTGGAGAGAAGAGTCAAGATCACTGCATGACCCTATGGCTGCTTCCTCCTCCTCGACTGTTTTTTGGGGCTTGAAGAGGCAGAAGTACTTCTTGTGGCCGTTCAGTGCCAGTACATAGCCTGTGTAGTCACGATCCATGAAATGCTTATCATACTGGTTTGGAATTGGGGCTGCATCTTGAGCAAATTCTAGTAAGTATTCTAGCCACTCTCTGTGTTTATCTAGACTCAGGAAGGAGAAATGGAGGCAGCTGCTCCTGGAAGAAGAACAGAATGTGGATTTAGGGTGTTTTGTGACACATTTATTCACAAGTAACCTAAGTGCCTGGATTAGACTTCAAATGAGAGGAAAAGGCTTTGCCTTGGCTAGGGCCTGGAAACAGAAAAAATGCAGGGTTTTGTGGCAGCCAGAGGGCCTCTACAACAGCTACAACACTCTACCCATCCATTCTCATCCCCTGCTGGGTATAGCCTATGTCATTCTGTGTCTGGCTCCTGGAAAATACACAGGAGCTCTGGTAGCATAGTGCCTAAGGCACTTGACTGCTAACCAGAAGGCTGGCGGTTCAAACCCACCAGCCACTCCTCGGAAGGAAGGTTGGGCAATCCTACTTCTGTAGTGATACTGCCTCGGAAACCCAAGGAGGGGTCGCTATGAGTCGGGGCCGACTCCACGGCAAACAAGAACAACAACAACAACAAAGAACAGCCAGGAGCTCTGGTGGCGTAGTGCCTAAGGCACTTGACTGCTAACCAGAAAGCTGGCGGTTCAAACTCACCAGCCACTCCTCAGAAGGAAAGTTGGGCAATCTACTTCCGTAGTGATACCGCCTCGGAAACCCAGGGAGGGGTCGGGTCCGACTCGACAGCACATAACAACAACACAACAAAGAACAGCCAGTTTTCTCAAAACGCTCAGGGAGTAAGACTGAGTTCAGTGTCTTCTGTTCACAATCAACAGAACATGACGTCAAAGGGAACAAAGGTCACCCCATGAAGGCTTAGATTTTTTGGGTTGGGAAGGTCATAGCCAATATCTTACTGAGAAAGTTCCTCTCAGTCATGGAGGACATAATTTACCTCCTGTTGCCTCCTTATCCAATGTTCATCCATTCGCTCTCTCTCTCTTACACATACACATACACACGGTGCTTACCCAGTGAATGTGTAGACCTCCAAAGCAAATTTCTGGAGAAGGCTGGTCTTGGTGGAATTTGACAGGATGAGGACCACGTTCATGTGGCCTGGCCTCAGACGTACCAAGTTACTGGTGTATGTTACATCTGTGAGTTCAGTTACCTCCACAAAGCCTTTTTTAGGAATCTTGCTGTGGTGGAGAAATATTGAGGAGTCAGATGTTATCAAAACAGAGGAATGCCATTACTTTTAAAGAGCAAGTGGAAACAAAATGCTATGTTCTAACCAGACTGGGTGTGTTATTTCACATTCTTGAGCCTAACACACTAGCAGGATGGGGATGACCCTGATTTTGTGATCTCTGGCCATAAACAGCCTTTCAGATGCTGCTTTTCAGCTGGTGCAGAAGTAGCTTTAGGTCAGAATGAAGAAAGTGGCTATTACCCAGTCTGATTTCTTTGTCTCAGAGAGACACTCACTGCCTGTCACTGAGGTGTGTGCTCACTACTGATCATATTCATCACCATGGTTATGGTGACAGACCATTTTCTGCTTCTGGCTCATCTACCATCTCTCAGGCATGCTTCTCTGCTTCCTTGCCTTCATCAGTAAATCTGTGTTTAAGAAACGGAAGTTACAAAGTAGAAAATAGGTAGGTCCTGTATCTGAAAGTCCCAAGAGTCTCAGTAAGTCAGCAGTGACTTTTCCCTATATCCACAAGAAGTTGAACCAGGTTTCATATATGTATGTGTATGTGTGTGTGTGTGTGTATGAACTGCTTTATTAGACTACACAGTCAGTGGGAGGTGAGTTTGATCTTTTATTAGGGAAACAGCCCCTCTGTCCACACTACCTGCTGTTTTCTTTGCTGAAGGTTGGCTCTGTCTTGCCAGACTTCTCATGGACTTCCTGTTTATCTGGAGGGTTTGACTCTCGTTCGTCATTTGAATCACTAAAGTAAGAAAAAAGGAGTTTTTTAAAAAAGAAGACAAACAATCATGGAGGCTGGGGACTCACCTTTCAGAAACTACACAGAGAAGCCACAGAAGCATTTACCTGAAAGCCTGCATGATGACAGTACCAAAGAGGATGAAGAGGGCCGAGAAGATCAGGGACAAGAGGGGCATCATTTCCCTCCTGAAATAAAGTTAACAAACTTTGATCAGCTCAGGATGGGTTGCTGTAATGCATCTCAATGAGTTGAAGTAACTTCTCTCTGGCTTGAAAAAAAAAAAAAAAAAATCCCAAACCAAGTCATACTGTTTGAATAAAATTTTCTACTTTTAAACCAACAGAGTTGCTTTGGGGGCTATGGTGGTGGTGGAGGGGCTCTGGTGGCACAGTGTTTAAAGCTTTTGGCTGCTAAGACTGGCCAGCTGCTTCATGGGAGAGAGATGAGGCAGTTCTACTCTGTCCCTTAGGTTCAACATGAGCTGGTGCAGTGTAGTAAATTACATAGTGTGGCTTTTGTAGCTATAAGTCTTTGTAAACTCCTAAGTGGAATTTGCCATGAGCAACTGAGTCGCTCCTGACTGTTAAAGTTATCCACCTGGGGTATTTCTGTTGGAGCAGTAATTTTCTGGGGAGCTTGCTTTCTCTCAGGTGTATAAAATTCTGATGTTGAGATTGTTGAGTTTGGCCACTCTGCCAGGCTCAAAAGGAGCCCTCCTAGAGGCAGAAAAAATTCTCACTGCTAGCTGGGAGACACAAGAGACACGCATTGCTAAGAGAGAGAGAGATGTGAGAGACCCGCATTGCTGAGAGACACGCACTGTGGTGAGAGAGACACCGAGAGACATGCACTACTGGGAGAGAGACTGAGAGAGACTGTCGGCTGAGAGACAGCAGGCTGAGAGAGACTGAGTGTGTTCCTGAACTTGAATTGTAGCCTGTTGCTTCCCTAATAAGCCCCATAATCTGTGAGTTCTGTGTGGCCAATGCAGTGAATTATCGAACCCAGCAGAGAGGTGGTGGGTGCTGTGGGAGAAACGGTTGGTGTCAAGGTTGGTGAAAGGGCTGGAGGGAGGCGGCATGTCTGGTCTAGAAGGGATAAGCTGTGGTGATTCTGTCTTCCTCTTGCAGGGTTAGAGGAGGTCAGAAGATGTAGCCTTCCTGCCCCTTTGGGCAAGTCAGTTGGAATTGACTTGATGGCAGGGGGTTTGGTTTTTTGGTTTGGTGCTGGCAGAGAGGAAGGTAGAGATTTTTCTCCCTTACTGTTCTAATTCAGATAGCTTATTATAAAAGTTTGACTTTGTATTTCAGTGACAACGGCTATAATAAATTTTGCATAAGGAAACAATGAAAGGGATGGATAATAAAGGATTTAAATAATAAATATGGAAGGTAGCATCAGTGATTAAAAAGGCTAGGGAAGTATTTCCTCAATTTTATTTATTCATTTTTCCCGTTAAGAATCATGGAGACGTGGCCCAGAGGAGTGGGAGTATGGAGAAAAGATGACTTTCCACGATTTCCTCTGTGACCGTGTTCTAACATTTCTCTCACCCACAAGCATCCACCACACCCCTGCCATTTTTGAGGTGTGGGGTGAGGCTCCAGGAATCACAGACATGTGGTTGTGTCCTCCAGGAGCTCAGCCCCAACCGTGGGGTGGGAGTGGAATGTCTCTACTCTGATTTGCTCACTGTTCACTTGTACATCTATGTACTGGACTCCATGTGTGTAGGTCCTATGCAAGGCCCCAGAGGTGCCGGATGAAGAGGGCAGCCCTAGACTCTGCTATCCGGAAGGGCAACAGGGAGGAACCTTTCTGAGGCAGCAAAAAAATGGTCAGTCAGCAAATACGAAAAAAAAGTGAAGTTATTGAAAGAAAAAGGGGAAGAGTTATTGAAAATGTCTAAGCATTCTTCCACTTGCCTGTATCTGATTAAGTACTGAAATTAAAGAAGGGTAGACTCTTTCCGAAAGAAAAATACTGACACTGGTATTCACAGAGAAACAGAAATTCACCCTAGCAACATTCCTACCAGTTGTTGTGAAATATGCTATCCCAGCAGTCTGAGATGTATTCAGAAGCAGAGTAGAGCCACCGAAGTAGAAACACCTAGAGAGAAAGGGAATGGATGAAGGTGAGGACTGAACCCCAGAGGGCTGACAGCACTCCTTCGCTCAGATGTTCTGGAGACACACTGCCCACAACACAGCACTGCTGCTGAACTTCTGCTTTCAGCAAAAATCCCATCACCAGCTCTCTGAGCCCAAGAATGCTGCCAGCTGTTCAACCTTGCTGGGCCATGATGCTTACAGGGGCAAGTTCATCGGTCAGGTCGGGAAGCACAGCTTCAGAGGACAGGAGGGCTGGATCTTTCCTCAGTTGGTCGAGATAACCCAAAAGGATGAACTTATCACTCTCGCTCCCAGTCCAGGGATCTTCCAGGGTTTTAAAAACCACCCTTCCTGCTGTGTTGCGCCTTTCTAAGATAGACACCTGGACCAGAAGGCAAAAAAAAAAAAAACACATTAGAAATCTCCAAGGAATGGTAACTGACTGGGTTTCTCCCCCCGAGGGGGGATGAAAAAAAGGATCTAGTGAAGTCTGTAATAAGTTCAAACACAAATAGTGATAAAGTATTTGGAAAAAAATGAAAATTTTTTTCGAACAAATTGTTTTTGTGGTGACTTTTCAAAGTTTTTGGGAAAAATTAAAGCAAACTTTTTTCACAACAGTCTTTGTTCTATAACCTCTAAGTTAACATTGTAACAGAGGAAACCTCTGTGTTTCAGAGATTACAAAAAATGAGGATTCCATGATTCAAAAGGATGACAAAAGGAAAGGGAGGATGAAGTCAGGGAGGCAGAAGTAAAGAGGGGAGGTTTCCAAGGCATATTATTGGTGATCTAAGGAACACTTTACAAACTGGGATACTGCACAACTAGAGGTGAAATAGGGAAAAAAGTGAAAAGGACTGACGTGCTTTAACTTTTACTCACAGGAAAGATGCCGAAAGTGGAAAATCTAGGATGTGACTGACTAGGGTGAAAGACTGTTACAAGAGTGGGCTTTCCAACAGAATGTTATAGATTCCCTGGAATTTGTATTCAAACTCCTGAGGAAGGAGATAGAATCCAGTGCCACCTGCTTGTGAGGGTTTGGGGTCAGAAGAGGCCCCATGACGCACCGCTGATTTTCCTCGAAACACGTCACTGTCTGGTAGTAAGGTGTTGGCAAACTCTTGCTGTCGACTGCTGTAGACATGCACGAATCTCACAGTGTCCTGCGTGTTTGCCAGGGCAAAGGACAGGAAAGCCTCAAAGGGCTGACTCAACTTGGTAGCCTCGGCAGTCAGTAAAACTACACAGTACCTGCATGGCAACAAAACAGAAAAGTTTATAACCAATCCCTGAGGCCATGACCAGGACCTGCCCCAGTAAGCATTTATTCTAGTAAAGAAGAGGAGGTACTTATATAAGCAAATCTGTTTTGTATCTCAAAAGCTGTATGCTGCAAAGTCCCTGGTGATAAAAGATTTCAAGTAACTAGTGACATGCTCCTTCCCCAGACTGATAATGTGTTCCCCAAACCTAACTTCCTCATGCCATTTAGGAATTTCCTTTAAGGCAATGGTTACTGGATCCCTGATTCAGAAGGGCCTTCTAGAAGCCATCTATTCCCATTCTTCCACCACAGGTAGGGTGGTGGAATCTAGCTCAGGGCAGATACCACTGAGCCTCATTCTGAGGGGCTTCCACTGCAATGGTTCCAGTGGCAAGTTTAGCTATTCATTCACACACTCTTCCAGATATGTATCGAGCACTTGCTACATGCCAAGCACAAAGCCCACATGGAGCTTATATTCCACTGCGGAAGACAGACAACATATAAAACCTACCATAACAGGTAGTGACAAGTGTGCCATATAATACATACATACACACACAAAAGAGAAAGGATAAGACCAGGGTGGAATGGGAGTCATGCCCCATAGGGAGGCTGGTCAGGAAAACATCACCTGAGAAGGCGATGTTAAGCAGAGACCTGGATAAAGTGAGCCACAAGAGTAAACAGGGTCAGAGCATTCCAGGCAGAGACACTGGCAAGTGCAGAAAAGCTGAGATAGTGACTTGCTCTGATTCCTATTTTTAGAAGGATCACTGGCTGATGTGTGGAGAACTGAGTGGAGGGCATTAAGAGTGGAAGCAGGAGACCAGTTAGAGGGCTACCGTGGTGATCTTGATGGAAGATGATGGTGGCCTGTTCTTGGGTGGCAGTGGTAAAAACGTGAAAAGTACTTGGATTTGCGATATTTTTTGCAGTCTAAGTAAACAACAATCCTCACAGCCTAGGATGATATTCTCTTAATCTAATTAAAGTCTTTCCTGCTTCTCTTTTAGACTACAAAGGAACACAAAATGTGTATAAACATAGGGTAAATTTTTCTTTTCAACAATATTTTAGCTATATTTTCAAATAATATGATCAATATGTTTTCCTTCCATCTCTGGACACCTTTTACAGATGAAATAGCCCTGAATTTAAAGCTATTGATTTGTTAATCTGAGTAAGGTGTAAGTATTTTCCCTGTATTTGCAGACTTGTTACACATCTTACAGATAACTTTTCACATGCTTCATTGAATAAGCATACTTTAGCCTTCTCATTTCCCAGTTGAGAAATTGAACTGCTGTAACATTTCTTCAGTACTCTGCTTCCCCACTGCTTAATCACCATCCTGGCTCATCTCTGGACCCTCCCTACCACTCATCCTGGATGGAGTGGTCTAGTGGGGATGTTAACTCTCTCTGCTCCATTCTTCATTAGAGTGATCTGATCTTTCCCTGACACCTTACCACTTCACCCAGCTAATGCCTACTCATCCTTTAGGTCTCAGCTGAAGTGTGTTACATCTCAGGAAGCTCTCCTCTGATTCCTAGACAGGCACAGCCAACCATTTGGTCCTAAGGTCCCTGGACCAATACACCCAACTACTGTTGATAAGTCACTATTTGTTAAAAGAAGAATAAAGTCTGTCACAGAGTAGATGTTTAATCACCCTGTAGTCAAATGTAACATGGTCCTTCTATCGAAATGACAAACAGAGACAAAGCTTTGAGTCCTTACTTCCGCTGTCGGTGAGACCGTTTCACAGGGCAGAGTTCATGGAACAACTTCTGACTGGTGAGCCTGGCTGCCAAGAGGTACTTGTTTTGGGTGATGAAGTCATCAATGACCTGCTTCTTCATACCTCGGCCCTGGAGAAATACCAAGAAGCAGTTGATTTTTATTAGGGTTTCTTACTGCAAATGGACTATATTTTAAAGCTTGATAAAAGACTGAGTGACCCTGGCTAAAGTAATATAGTCAAATAAGATGGATGTGTTTGAGCAAATAAACATGTGGTACTCTTTTTTCCAACTACGTAGGGCTCAAAGGACTAAAATTACTTCAAGTCAAAGGAAAGATTAAGTGCTAAGTGCTTTTTCACTTGAAAAATTTTGAATTCTATTTTGTGCTGATAAATTAACATAGTCATTCTGAATTTTAGGCAGATTTATTTCCATTCAGGATTTGTAACAAACTGAACAATTAAAAATAAACCTCCTACATTTCAAAGCACTGTACTCACATACAGCATGTTTTCTGACTACAATATAATTAATTAGAAATCAATATAAAATGTAAACTAGAAAACCCATTTATGGTTGGAAATGAAAAAATCCATTCTGAATAATCTATTGATCTAAGAGGAAGCATATCAGGTATCAGAATATATTATACATTTGAATGACTGATGAATATACTCTTATCAAAACTATGGTATCAAGAAAATGAAAAGAGACTTCTGGCAAGGTGGCAGGATACACTGACAAGCTACCCAGACCCTCTACAAGAAAGGGGTGAGAAACCAACATAGATGATAATCCTGGAACCCTGAGCCCAAAGGGAAGGATAAAGAAGTGAAATAGAGGTTGGCAGTTTGAACCCACTAGCTGCTCCATGGGAGAAGGATAAGGCAAATTGCTTCTATAAGGTTTTATAGCCATGGTAACCCTATGGGGCAGTTGCACTCTGCCCTGTAAGGTCGCTTTCAGTAGGAATCGACTCAATGGCAGTGGGTTTGGTTTTTGAGTAGAAGAAACTGAATGAAAACAGCAAATAAGGAGACGAATAGACTTGTGGACTATAGACTGGCCTGACAGCACAGTCATTTTGATTATCTGCAAGCAGTGTTCTAATCTGGGCAGAAACCTGATAATTGGGTCTGTGTGCCAAGGACTGCATGGGCAACCACACTGGTGGCTGACGATCAGAAAGGTGTGATATTCCCCTTGTTCTTCACAACCTCCCTGTGAAAGGAGGTGTGGCCAACTCCCACCTATCTTCTGGACCGGAAGGAATTCCATCCCAGACCAGGTGCTCTGCCACCACAGCTGCCTTCTGGGCAGGCAGAAACTAGTCTCGGGACTAGGAACCCTTTCAGGCTAGTAGGAGACCAGGCATACTACACCCAGCTGCCTCTTCAGATGGCAGAACATTTTCTGGGACTGGGGCCCTGCACCCAGTTGCCTTCTGAGATAGCAGGAACTTTGTCTGGGATCAGACGTCCTGCCCACAGCTGCTTTTTGGACTGGCAGGAACTCCCTCTGGATCCAGGTGTCTTGCTCCCAGTTGTCTTTTGGACCAGCAGGCACTTTTTATGGGTCCAAGCACCATGCCCACAGACATCTTCTGGGCCAGCAGGAACTCATCTTGGATCAGGAACAACACCCCCAGTTGCCTTCTAGGTAGGCAGGAACTAGTTCTGGGACCAGGTGCCCTATACTCAGCCCCCTTTTGGGACAGTAGGAATCCCTTTTGGGACCTGGAGCCCTGCCTCCAGCTGCCTTATGGGTTGGCAGGAACTTCCTCTGCAACCAGATGTCCTGCTCCCCGCTACCTGATTGGCAATAGAACACCACCCAGGTTCCCTGTCCCCTAACCCCTAACCCCAGTTTCCTTTTTAATTATTCTTGTTTTCCTCTTTTTATTTTTTCTTTTCTTACCTTCACTGATTGTTTTTTCTTTTTCCTTGTTCCCTTCGGTTTTCTTTCTTCTATTTCTTATTTTCCCCATCCTTTGTATTTCTTTTTTTATTTCTCCTGTTTTCTTTACTGTTCTTTTTCTCTTGTGTTCTTTTCTTTTTTTTCCACATTCCACAGACTTTTTTTTCTTTTTCTCTTTGACTCTCTTTTTTTTTCCCTTTTAATTTTCTTTTTGTCATTGTTTATGCTGTTGTTGTTTGTTCTCTCGTTTTTATTATTAACATTTTTTTTCCTATTGTTCCACCTGGCAGGAGACAGCAACTATGCCCACATGAAGCAACCACATCCACAACTCTTCAGCCCCACCCACTGGGTAAGAGTCACCATCTGCTTCTACATCAAGTGAACAATGATAGATGGCAGCTATATCAGCCCAACCTTCCCCCAGCTGCTCTATATAAACAGCTAACACAGATCTGTACACACATTCTCATCCTCTGTCACACCCTTCAGGAAATGGGGTGATTGCCTAAGTGCTGCCAAACTAGCGAACAGAGTAGCACACCAGACCTGCTTGCTCAGGTATATCAAAATAAAATAAAGCAAACAAAACAAACCTGGGTGAATCACACCAACACACAATCATCAATTAAATACAAACACAATGACAATACAATGTCTCAAAGACAACTGACAATCCCAGTTTACACAAAGAATGAAGATAGAATAGTATAAAGGACCACAATATAGAGACAGAAAAACCCCCTGAGGGAGAAATGGTATTGGATTACCTGATAAGAAATTAAAAAGAATTATATTTAGGTACCTTCAAAGAACTGAGAAGACAGATCCAGGAAAACACTGACAAAATCAAGCAAAACAGATAAAACTCTTGAAGAACTTTGGAAAAAATACAAGAACTGACAAAATTAATGAAAAATTAGAAACCATACAAAAACAGCAAATACAAATGCATTAATTAATGCTAAGATTTCATAGATAACACATTGAAAGGGCAAAGGAGTAGAACTGAATCAATGGAAGACAGAATTAGCAAGAATGAAGACTAATCTTTCAATACTACTTTGTTAAGGGAACAATCAGAAAAAAGAACAAAGGAAAATGAAGTCCAAGATATATGTGAGAAATCATCAAGAGAAGTAACTTATGTGTGATTGGAATTCCAAAACAGGAAAGGACAAGTAAAACCACAGAGAAAGTTGACAAAGATTTGTTGGAAGAGAACTTCCTTAATATGGTGAAAGACGACAAGATACACATTCAAGAAGTTCAATGAATCCCAAACAGGATAAAACTGAAAATAAAGTTACCAAGACACATCATAATTAAACTTTCTAAAACCAAAGACAAAGAAAGAATCCTGAAAGCAGGAAACCTAACCAAACCAAACTCACTGCTGTCAAGTTGGACCCAACCCACAGCGACCTCTCCTTGGGTTTTTGAGGCAGTATCACTATGGAAGTAGATTGCCCAGTCTTCCTTCCAAGGAGTAGCTGGTGGGTTTGAACTGCCAGCCTTCTGGTTAGCAGTCAAATGCCTTAGGCACTATGCCACCAGAGCTCCCATCAGATATAAACTTACAAGATTTTTTTAAATGGAACCAGAGACATCAATTTGTAAATAAGGACAAATACAAAGCAAAAAGAGGGAATAAACAGTATACTTATAGAACTTCTAAATGGAAAGGAAGGCAAGACAATTTGGGGATAGAATGGACTATTTTAAACTTGGGAAGAAAATAATAAATCACAGGGTAACCTCAAAGAACATTAATGAACATTAATAAATCTTCTCATTAAAATAAAAAAGAGGGAAGATCCAAATACTTAGCAAATACTAAAACAAAAGCAACAAAGGAAATGACTTTAAAAATTCATAAACAAAATGAGCTTACCACAGAAAACTATATGGAACAAAGAAATCAGCAACATAAAAAAAAAAACCACATAACAAAATGGCATGAGTAAATCTATACTTGTCAATAATTACACTGAATATAAATGGATTAAATGAACCAATTGAGACAGAAAGTTGCAGAATGGATAAGAAAACATGACCCATCAATACGCTGTCTACGAGAAATATACCTTAGAAAAAAAGGGAAAATACAGACTAAAAATCAAAGGTTAGAAACACACACACACACACACACACACACGCGTGTGCACAAATGGCAATAAAAAAAGAGCAGGAGTGGCAATATTAATTTCTGATAAAATAGACTTTAAGACAAAAACCCATAAGAGACACAGATAATAAAGGATCAATCAAACAACAGGACATAACCATAATAATTATCTATGCACCCAATTAAAGAGCCCACAACACATAAATCAAACTTTAACAGAACTGAAAAGAGAAATAGACAACTTTACAAATAACAGGAGACTTTAGTCCACCACTTTCAATGAAGGATGGAACAACTAGAAAGAAACTCAATAAAAAGAGATTTAAACAATACAATCAACCAATATGACCTTACAGATATACACAGAACATTTCACCTAACATCAGCACAGTATATATTCTTTTCTACTGCATATGGAACATTCTTCAGAATAGACCATATGTTAGGCCACAAAGCAAGCCTCAATAAATTTAAAAACATCGAAATAATGCAAAGCATCTTCTCAGATCACAATGCTATAAAATTAGTAATCAACACTAGGAAGATCAATGGAAAAAAAGCAAACACACGGAAACTGAACAATACCCTCCTTAAAAACTACTGGGTTATAGAAGAAATAAAAAATGAAATTAAAAAATTCCTTGAATCAATTGAGAATGAAAACACAACATACCAATATCTTTGGGACACAGAAAAAACTATGCTCAGAGGGCAATGAATAGCAATAAATACACTCATCAAAAAAGAGCCAAAATCAACACCTTAACCCAACATCCCAAAAAGGTGCATAGTCACTAGCAAAAAAGAAATAACAAAGGTTTGAGCAGAAATAAATGAAACAGAAAAGCAATAGAAAGAATCAACAAGACTAAAAGTTGATTCTTTGAAAACATTAATAAAATTGACAAACTATTGGCAAATTTAACAAAGGAAGAGAAGAAGATGCAAATAACACGAAATATAAGTGAAATGGGTGATGTCACAACAAAGCCAACTGAAATAAACAGGATAATATCAGGACAGTGTAAAGAAGGGTATTTCAACACATTTGAAAACCTAGAAGAGAAGGACAGATTTCTAG